GTCGATTGTGTGACTACAAAATGAGGGGCATTTTAGAAAACAAATTCATCAGCGATTGGATGGTCTCTAACAAGTCTAACCAATCAGAGTACCAAAGTTGATGATGACTTTGTGTAGGCCGGCTCTGGCCCAACCCATCAGTCTCTTGAACCAATCAGAACGGTCAGAATGTGTTTGCATTCTATAAATCGTTGGGGAGGGAGGCAAATCCAGAATCATCTTGGAGAAGAAACGTCAGTTGGCCGGAGCGATGTGGATGGGTAACCAGGCAAGTGGTCGTACCCTCTTTCCGTCTATCCATCCACCTGTCCCTTTGTCTCTTGTTTCAGATGGGATGTCAGCGTTGATCCCTGTGACTCATTATCCTGCCTGTCAGACCTCAGTTTGCTCACCCAAAATCCTCCAATAATCCAGCCAGTCCCCTCTGTCCATTTCTCCTCCCTGCCTTAACACACACACAAGCAGGCACGTACAGTGGGGAGAACAAGTATTTGATACACTGCCGATTTAGCAGGTTTTCCTACTTACAAAGCATGTAGAGGTCTGTCATTTTTAATCATAGGTACACTTCAACTGTGAGAGACGGAATCTAAAACAAAAATCCAGAAAATCACATTGTATGATTTTTAAGTAATTAATTTGCATTCTATTGCATGACATACGTATTTGATACATCAGAAAAGCAGAACTTAATATTTGGTACAGAAACCTTTGTTTGCAATTACAGAGATCATACGTTTCCTGTAGGTCTTGACCAGGTTTGCACACACTGCAGTAGGGATTTTGGCCCACTCCTCCATACAGACCTTCTCCAGATCCTTCAGATTTTGGGGCTGTCGCTGGGCAATACGGACTTTCAGCTCCCTCCAAAGATTTTCTATTGGGTTCAGGTCTGGAGACTGGCTAGGCCACTCCAGGACCTTGAGATGCTTCTTACGGAGCCACTCCTTAGTTGCCCTGGCTGTGTGTTTCAGGTCGTTGTCATGCTGGAAGACCCAGCCACGACCCATCTTCAATGCTCTTACTGAGAGAAGGAGGTTGTTGGCCAAGATCTCGCGATACATGGCCCCATCCATCCTCCCCTCAATACGGTGCAGTCGTCCTGTCCCCTTTGCAGAAAAGCATCCCCAAAGAATGATGTTTCCACCTCCATGCTTCACGGTTGGGATGGTGTTCTTGGGGTTGTACTCATCCTTCTTCTTCCTCCAAACACGGCGAGTTGAGTTTAGACCAAAAAGCTATATTTTTGTCTCATCAGACCACATGACCTTCTCCCATTCCTCCTCTGGATCATCCAGATGGTCATTGGCAAACTTCAGACGGGCCTGGATATGCGCTGGCTTGAGCAGGGGGACCTTGCGTGCGCTGCAGGATTTTAATCCATGACGGCGTAGTGTGTTACTAATGGTTTTCTTTGAGACTGTGGTCCCAGCTCTCTTCAGGTCATTGACCAGGTCCTGCCGTGTAGTTCTGGGCTGATCCCTCACCTTCCTCATGATCATTGATGCCCCACGAGGTGAGATCTTGCATGGAGCCCCAGACCGAGGGTGATTGACAGTCATCTTGAACTTCTTTCATTTCCTAATAATTGCACCAACAGTTGTTGCCTTCTCACTAAGCTGCTTGCCTATTGTCCTGTAGCCCATCCCAGCCTTGTGCAGGTCTACAATTGTATCCCTGATGTCCTTACACAGCTCTCTGGTCTTGGCCATTGTGGAGAGGTTGGAGTCTGTTTAATTGAGTGTGTGGACAGGTGTCTTTTATACAGGTAACGAGTTCAAACAGGTGCAGTTAATACAGGTAATGAGTGGAGAACAGGAGGGCTTCTTAAAGAAAAACTAACAGGTCTGTGAGAGCCGGAATTCTTACTGGTTGGTAGGTGATCAAATACTTATGTCATGCAATAAAATGCAAATTAATTACTTAAAAACCATACAATGTGATTTTCTGGATTTTTGTTTTAGATTCTGTCTCTCACAGTTGAAGTGTACCTATGATAAAAATTCCAGACCTCTACATGCTTTGTAAGTAAGAAAACCTGCAAAATCGGCAGTGTATCAAATACTTGTTCTCCCCACTGTACGCACGCAAACACTGAGTAGGCATGCAGGCCTACAAGTGCACATATGTACGCATACACACACGCATGCACCCAGACACGCACGCACCCACACACGCATGCACACACACATACACACACTTTTAACTCATCGTAACCTCTCCCCTGGACCCCTATTCCCTATATAAGCCCCAGTCAGTTCTCTGCACTCATCACCAGTAAGCACCACTGTCTTTTCCATCGTCTTTCTTGCGGCTGGTAAGACTTCTCACCCTTTTCATCGTTCTCACCATGCTGAATTTGTGTCGGAATGTTGCTTGTTGTCAGGCCATAGCAACTGTAGCTATAGCGACTCTGTAGCTAGAAGTACCTGAGAGTAAGTTATTCCTACAATAACTATATACTTATGAGAAATTTGGCTGGTGTCATGATTCAATATGTGGTGTTGATGCCGGCAATTGTTTTTGGTGGTTGAACACTATGTCTTTGCTGAAGTTACTTGGCATGGAAGTAGTTGGATGAGCTAAACAAAATATTGTAGGCCTATTTATGGAATGTTCCTTCAACCTCTAGCATCTAACAAACTGGAAGCACTGTATGTGTATATGAACTTGTGTTCACGTGTTTTCTATGTTTAAACAGTTTGTTAAATGTATGTGCACCTTCTTGTCTAAAACAAAGGCCAGGATTCATTCATGGGCGTGTTGCAACGCTGTTTGAGCCGACATCGGCAGCGTTTATCATGAATGCAATCTCATCGAACGTTGGGGAAATTGCCATTCAAAGGCACATTGCCAGTAATGCAGTGTGCTGCACTGCAACATGCCTTTGCATGAAACCTGGCCTGGGTGTTTTACTGTAATGACATTCAAACCACCAGTCCACTGTTGCTCTAAGTCAGGGATGGGCAATTCCAGTCCTCAGGGGCCAGATTGGTGTCACACGTTTGCCCCAGCCCCAGCTAACACACCTGACTCCAATAATCAACTAATCATCTTCCTTTTAGAATGCAATTATTTCAGTGAGCTGTGTTTGTTAGGGATGGGGAAAAAGTATGACACCAGTCCAGCCTCCGAGGACTGCATTTGCCCATCCCTGCTCTAAGTGATCATTCATCTGTCTCTGTCTGTCTGTCTGCATGTCTTTCCATCTATCTGTCAGTCTTTAACAGACTAACACACTGCAATAATGAAGCAATGTGATGTGATCCTTCCCCAATCCTCTGTCTGTCTTTCGTTCCAGCACCATGTTTGTTCAGTCAGACATACTGATCCATTGAGGTCAGGGCTAAATGCTAACTATGGAAGGGATAGAAATGACTGGCTTGATTCCTTGATCTTCCACGTTAATGTTCTCAAAGGAAGTTGGGCTAGGCAGCTCTCCAGTTGTTGACTGTGGGGAATCTGGGGATGGTGTCGGAAAATGGTCTCACTGTTCTACTATCTGGTCTGCATTTGTCTGGATGTTTATTTATCATTAATCATTGAATCTGTATAGGCTAGGCCTATATGAATATTCGTCCAATTTTGAGTCTGATTATATACAGGATCTCCTACATTATATAAAAGAGACTTTACATTTAAACCTATTGAAATAACAAATAACTGGGATATGAATCGGTTTCCAAGTTGTGTATAAAAGGGAGAAAATGCATGTGATATACAGTCAGGTCCAAAATGATTGGCACCCTTTATAAAGATGAGCAAAAAATACTGTATAAAGCTAAATAGTACAAATACTGAGCTATATTGTATGCTCCAAAAAATTGGGAAGTTATATTATTTTATACTAATACAATTTCTCTGATAAATAGATTTTGTTTAACAAGTATTAATGTTTTTTTCTCAAAAAGATAGGGGTCAGAATTATTGGCACCCCTGTTTTCAATACCTTTCAATACCTCACCTTGCGAGGATAACGGCACTGAGCCATTTTCAAAATTGTTTTATGAGACAGCCAAAGAGCTCTATTTTCATGTCATATGACCATAGCACCGGTTCCAATCTAAGTGCCAATGCTGTTTAGCAAACTTTAGGCGTTTACATTTATTGGATGACATGAAAATAGAGCTCTTTGGCCACGCACACCAGTGGTGGGTTTGGCGTCGAAATGAGAACACATATGCAGAAAATAACCCCATACCTACTGTAAAATATGGTGGTGGGTCGTTGATGGTCCTGGGGCCCTTTTTAAGGTCAAATGCATCATTAGCTCTACCCAGTACCAGGACATTTTAGCCAAAAAAACCTGACTGAAACTTGGATGCAAGTGGATCTTCCAGCAAGACAATAACACATAGCACACATAAAAATCCACAAATAAATGGTTAATTGACCACAAAATGAACATTTTGCAATGGCCATCTCAGTCTCCGGACTTGAACCCCATTTAAAACCTGTGGTTTGAATTGAAGAGGGCAGTCCATGGGCACAGATGAATGATATCAAGGATCTGGCATGATTTATGTATAGAGGAATGGTCTAAGATCCCTTCCAATGTGTTCTCCAATACATAAAACATTTTAGAAAAAGGCTAAGTGCCGTAATCTTTTTGAGAGAAAAAATGTATTACTTGTTTAACTAAATCAATTTCTCTGAGCAATTGTATTAGTATAAAATTCTATAAATTTTCCTATTTATTTATTTTGCATACAATATAGCTCAGTATTTGTATAATTTGGAATGGGGGCCCATCCAAATCCCTTCCATCTTGCTGTCACTCTTGTAAATTAAATAAACTGAGTGGAATTCCGTGGCTGATGCCCCTCTTATCCTGGGCAACTTGATACCGCCACACCCTCAGCCTCTCTGTCCCCTTCTATTCCATTATCTACAATGGTCTTTCCCTCATCTTGCCTTCGCAATAAAAACATCTTCCCACATTTACCCTTGTAGTTTTACCCTTGTCGTTTTTTTTTATCTCTCTCTCCCTCTCTCTTCAGAGTAACTATGTCTGACATAGAGGAAGAGAATGAGTGAGTAATCGTCAACTATTCTAATTCAAAGAACTATTAGTGATATTCTATAACTACATTTTAATACTTTGTGTTGTTAATATGTATTTAAAACTGATAACGCGTATTTTCTCTTTTTTTAAGGGATCAGCAGGAGGGTAAGGCTATTTTCTGTCACGTTTCATTGTCTCATTGTCACCCACTCCTCTCTTATATGTAATTTTTATCACCTACTTGCTCCACAGAGGAAGAGGAGGAAGGAGGTTAGTCACAACTGTATGTTGACATCATCCTTGATGTTACACATCCTCACAATATTATTAGTCCATTTAGACCCTGAAACATTACAGTGAATGCCCCCAAACGATCTCTCTAGAAGGGACATAATACGCACCTCTCTGATTCAGAGGGGTTGGGTTAAATGCGGAAGACACATTTCAGTTGAATGGCCCCTGTTTCTCCCTCTCACCTGTCTCTCCCTGGGCCTTTCCTGGGTGGATCCTGGTGAACAGAGCCAGAGCATTCAGAGAACACAGAGTGTCAAGGTATTGTACACCAGTAGTGGTGTGTGGGTAAAATCACAGGGGAAGCCAGGGAAAAAAGCATTATTACAAACCTATGTGTTGTGATAATTGTGTTGTTTAATCTTTAACCTGTTAGTTCATATGCCTTTCCACCATGATATATTGGCCTAAGGCCGAGACAATTAGAAGACACAGTGGCAGAACAAATTCAACCACACCTTTGTTTCATCACAAAACCGGAGAGCAAAATCTGTCCGGTGAAGTCCACAAAGCATATTGCATGTAACAAACAGTTACATGACCTACAACATGGTCAAACAAGTTAATGTTTCCAACATTTTCGGACTATTAAAAGACTATTGATTTAGAACCACGGAGAGTTACCGCAAGTCGCAAAAAAAACTGGCGTTGCCTCCACTATTCCAGCACCCTTTCAACTTCAACATTTCAACATCATCTAATCACCTATGCTTAGTCTAATACAATGACAACTAAAAGATACCAAAAACGATTTAGTCCAATCAATGTAAGCTAAATATGATGTGGCTGTCTGTAAGGGTTGGTGTGAGGTGTGACCGACCCAGGTGCGGTGCAGGATAGACAGTAGGCAGTAGGCAGAGATGGTGAAACAAGGATCTTTACTGGTGGTCCCGAAGCCAGGATACAAAACAACAGACTTAACACGATAAAAGAAAGGTGGAGCAAATAAGTCTCCAAAAACAGGCTGACAGCCAAAATACGAAATAGTAACTACGACTGAAATAATAAAGAAACAGGGAGAACAATTCTCAAGTACCTGTACATACTTCTCCGATCAGACACTGATTAGTACTGCTGAGTGTAGAGAAACTAGCAGAGAAGACTGAGCAAGGGAACACAGGGAAGTGAGGGCATAAATACACAGGTGAACAAGTAGACACAGGTGACACCATAGGATCATGATTAGTCCAGACTGTGAGTGAGAAGGTGCCTAAGGTTGTCGGAGGAGGACACCTAGTGGATCGCTCCGGAACTGCGACACCCTCCTGTAACAGCGGTCCATGGTACTGATTTCTGTGTGTGTGCTTGTGCGTAGAAAAAACATTTTTGCTGACTCACCCTACTTGTAGTGAAACGCCAATGCCATCCACCTCTTTCATGTTCCCTAAACGGTCTATGACTCTGTCATACAGTACATGCTTTTAGTTTTTGTTGTGCTATAATGCTTGCTCGCTAGCTAACTTCCTTTCATGGGCAACGATGCGCCAGGCCAGTTAGTTAACATTAGCCTACTACATCTAGCTACATGTTGAACTTCCATCCTCTCAGGCCAGGGGCACAATGTATGAATTTATGGTTGGATCAGAATCGCCGTTATAATCATTGGCCAGTATGGAGAATTAAGTAAAACCACAAGTTCAAATCCCTATCTCCATCCATGGCTAATTTAGGAAAGGGACGATTTTAGCTAGCTAGCTAGCCAACGGAGGACAATGACACAACAAGATGCAACAATTCAAGTTTTTTTCTGTCAATGGCAAAAATGTCCCACTCAACCCAATTACCTACAAGGAAGTTGAAATCCACCAATGCAAAGTATTAGTTGTGTTTTGGTTTGTTATTGATTTTCTCTGTCATTTCTTTCATGCCTTGTATTAAGAAGAAGAGGAACGTCCTAAATACAAGTATGTCTGTCTTCACAAGTAAACAGTTACTGCTAAGTTTGTGAATTAAATCGTGTTTCCTTTTCTTTTGAGGATTTGCTGTGTCATGACACAGAACACTTGGGGTCGGTTTCCCAGACAGATTAGTCCTCATTAAAACGTGTATATATTGAAAGCACTTTTTAGTCCAGGACTAGGCCTAATCTGTGTCTGGTAAAACCGTACCCTGAAGTCTGATTTCATATTGTATCTGAATACAAAGCATATAATTAAATCTAACAATTTTAATTGAATGTATCTTTACAGTACAAAGTACAACATGCACAGTTTAACAGAGGCAAATACTTGAGTAGTAATTTAAGTATATTTAGTAGTTTGGCATTTAGGTTGTCAGTGTGTTTAATCCTGATGTAAATCACTTACTTCATCTTGTTTTACAGGCCCATGGTCTCCCAGCTCGCTGCCCCCAAAAATCCTGAGGGGGATAGGGTGGACTTTGATGTGAGCCGACATGTGGGCTTTACCCATAGAGATAAAAATCTTTATCTCTGTTTTTTTCCCATATTATTTTCTGATCGCACTTACAGTTTCCCAGACCCATATTAATCTTAGTCCTGAACTAAAAAGCATTCTCAATAGTCTCCAATGAAAATGCTTATTAGTCCAGGACTAAGCTTAATGTGGGTTGGGGAAAATGGTCCCTTATGTATATATAGATCATTTTATTGATTTACTACTTGTATTCATTAACTCTGGTTTGTGACAGGACATCCACAGGAAGAGAATGGAGAAGGATCTTCTGGAGCTGCAGACCCTGATCGACGTCCATTTTGACCAGAGGAAGAAAGAGGAGGAAGAACTCATTGGGCTCAAGGACAGGATTGTAGGTCAATCACCCCATCGCTCTCTCACTCTCTCTCTCTCTTTCTCGCTCTCTCTCCTCTATCCTGTATGTTTTGTTTAATGTTTCATTTAATGTGCTTGTTGCAGGCATCTCTCTCGCTCTCTCTCTATAGTGTATACAGTATATACATCCATTCTCCATGGACAGGTCTATGTCTGGGAATAATGTATGTATGTGTGTTTAGAGAAAGGCTGATATGTGATTAGTGTAGTGGTATGTATAAATTAAGGTATTAATTGCTATTACGAGACGAGTATGCACTTGGTTTCTATTCCAGGAGAACCGCAGATCAGAGAGAGCAGAGCAGCAGCGTGTGCGAGCGGAAAAAGAACGGGACAGACAGACGAGAATTGCGGTAGGCCAAAGCCGCAATACAGAGCATCTGCTTAAGCTAGCACTATCGAGGCATCTGTTATAAATGGTTCATTGGCAGACAAAAACAATTAGTCTCATAAATCAATTGAATGCGTGTTGATATGATAAAACTATTGTACAAATATTCGATTTTTGGTACTCAGGAAGAGCGGCAGAGGAAGGAGGATGAGGAAGCCAAGAAAAGGGCAGATGACGACGCCAAGAAGAAGAAAGTGCTCTCTAACATGGGGGCTCACTTTGGGGGTTTCTTGGCAAAGGTCAGAATGCTAATGATATTGTAGACAAAGATGCTAGTGGAATAGGTCTTAAGCATAACCTTTACCAATGCTAACACTTTGTTGGTTGTAAGCATTTACAGTATACTGCAGGTGCTTTAGTTTGTGTGTGTATAAAATATGTGTTAACTAAATTAACCCTCGTAGTGCTGGTTTATTCACTTATTCAGTTGTGGGTGATGATTTTGCCCCCCCCCCCCCCCCAGGCAGAACAGAGGAGAGGGAAGAGACAAACAGGGAGGGAGATCAAGAAGAAGACACTGGCGGAGAGACGCAAACCCCTCGCCATTGACAACCTGAGAGAGGACGGCCTGAGGTCAGTGATATCCTTTTCGGACTACTGAGCTAAGCTGAGCCGAGCTGTACTGCGCTGGCCTGGTTACGCATCTATCATAGGTCCTGCACCGTGCTGCTTAAGATTAAAGGACAATTTGGAAAGAAAATAACTGAGTTAGCCCAGTACGGTCGGGTTGGGATGATAGTATGAAAAGTGAATTAATGTCCCTCTTAGAGATTGGAATTGATTATTTAAACTGTTGTTGAAGCAGTGAAAGAGGATACTTGAAATCTGAGCCAGAGCCTTCAAATGGAATAGTAGGCCTCAATGAACTTCACTTGCATTATCAAAGTCCTTGTTCTCCTGAGTGAATGAAGGTTGAGAGTACAAGTCCTCCTTCTCCAACTCCTAATGCCCTGTGTCTCTCTCAGGGAGAGAGCTAAAGAGATGTGGGAGTGGATCTACCAGCTCGAGTCAGACAAATTTGACCTGACTGAAAAGACGAGACGACAGAAATACGAGGTGAGGAGACCGCGATTGTACACCACAGTTATTTATGTCCTCTTTAGTCTGGTTAGCCCTTAAAGTATTTTATATGTGTATTGAAATGCCTTTTATTTAATTTTTTGCAGATAAACGTTCTTCTGAATAGAATTTCTCATGCCCAGAAATTGTAAGTGGATTTCTGCAATTCTGTCTGCCTTACCACTGAATGTTTATAGCACTGAATGTTTATAGCACATATATTAAAGTCAGCGGCCAGTAGGAAAACAACATATTTTAGAGCTCTTTGCAGGTTATATGACAATTTGCATACTATGCAAACGCCTCAAACGTTGACTGTGTCCTCTAATACCTGAAAACAGACTAGGGTTAGAGGACAGGAAATGTAGGTTCTGCAAGGATATATTTAGCATACACTGAGTGTACAAAACATTTCCATGAACCAGGTGAATCCAGTTGAAAGCTATGATCTATTATTGATGTCACTTTTTAAATCCACTTCAATCAGTGTAGATGAAGGGAGGAGACAGGTTAAATAATACTTTCTAACCCCAATTGAGGCATGGATTGTGTATGTGTGCCATTCAGAGGGTGAATGGACAAGACAACAAATTTAAGTGCCTTTGAACGGGGTATGGTAGTAGGTGCCAGGCGCACCAGTTTGTGTCAAAATCTGCAACACTGCTGGGTTTTTCATGCTCAACAGTTTCCCGAGTGTATCAATAATGGTCCACCACCCGAAGGACATCCAGCCAACTTGACACAACTGTGGGAAGCATTGGAGTCAACATGGGCCAGCATCCTTGTGAAATGCTTTTGACACCTTAGAGTCCATTGAGATGGGTTTATATTTAAGCAATAAGGCACGAGGGGGTGTGGTATATGGCCAATATACCACGGCTAAGGGCTGTTCTTATGCACGACGCGTCGCGGAGTGCCTGGACACAGATCATCGCCATGGTATATTGGCCATATACCACAATCCCCCTCGGTGCCTTATTGCTATTATAAACTGGTTACCAAAGTTTTGACTCTATGCTTTTTTCACACCCGAGCTCCCTCTATCTCTGCAGTAAAAAGGTCCATGGTAAGGGAAAGGTCGGGGGTCGCTGGAAGTGAGCACACAGTGGAAGCAGTGAAGAAAGAAGACCATATATTCTGTTTCAGGAAAGCGTTACAAAAACAATGTCTCAACATTTTTCTCTTGAACTCATTGAGCTGACACTATTTAATGTGTGACATTAACTGAAACAAATTCTATGTATTACTGTACTCATTAAAACGTGTATATATTTAACAAAACAAGTTATCTTTACTTCTGTAACACTAGAGGGAATTGGGTATGTAGGCTACATATGGGTACAACTCACCTACATGTCCATGGAATCACTTGTGAAGCAGACATGCTCTCATTTAATAGGCAATTTACAGAAGATCAAAACAGATGGATCAACAGGCCTAAAATGTGATTGAACTCTCACAAAATGTTACCTTTGCTTTCAATCAGCTTTTAACAGAATTGTCTCTTCTGTACATATATTCAGTATATGGCTCTGCCCCTCTTGCAGTACTGGAGACCTACCTAGTCAAACTAACTTGAAGTGTCAGAGGAGTAAAGCATAGAGTGCCTGATGGAATAGAACATATTCACTCCTTCTGTAATGTGAACGTGGCATAAACATCACTCTTCTCCTCCCGTGAGGGCTCAAACCCCGCCTCTTTGGCGATGTCACCGACTTTCTCAGCAAACCCCACTTCCTGCTCCTTGGTAAGATCCAATAGGTACCTGAGACATATGGAGAGGACACAGTCACTGAACAGCCCATCATCATACACACCTCAAACACAGGAAAAATGGATTGGAAAAATCATGACCTGTCAACAGCAGCAAATCACCCATTGACAATGTGTATATTCTTATGTTAATTACAATTAAAAGTATGATATGCAATTAACCAATTATTGTGTGGGTGAATACAAACTGATTTGCAAATACAGTGAAATACAATGAGCGTTGCACAATGAGTGAAATACAACAAGTAAATGGCAACAGTCACAAGTATGACAGACACTCACTTGGCCAGCTCCACCACGAGCGCGGCTTTGGGTGCAGCAATCTGTCTCAGTGTCGGGCTCAAATGGTGCACCATACTTCACAGTGAAGAAGAGGAAGGAGGAAGAGAGAGAGATACAGGCTGTAAAACTCACTGGCAGCAGAACGGTGGAACCACAGTAACCCTCACTGCTCGAGTGACGATCCCAAGAAGGTATTGCGTTTAACATAATACATTGTTCCTCATTCCAGGTCATGGAGTTCACAATGGTAATAGGTTTTTATAAATACGCTTGTGTGATAATCAATGTTTTGAAATGAACAAGGAGTGTTGCTGGAGTATTATTTATTTATTTTTATTTACCTGGCAGCACAGTAGATGCTGTTGAAAAAGTGGGAGTATTTCTGTTTCTCTGGCAGTTTAGAGAGAGAATCCAGGGGCAGGAAAGTCACTGACACCCCATTCAGGTGCATGAGCTCTGAAAGTGTTTTATTGTATAAGATAAAATAAATAGAAATAATACAATAAATTTTACAGGATAAAATACATAGTGCAATAGTGGGTTGTACAGTATTTTACTGTGTCAGGTATATGGTATAATACTTTGCAGTCAACACCAACATTATAGGCTATATACTTTAGCTTAGTGCAGCAGGACATAGTATATGACAGTGTTTTTCAAGGCAATGTTCAGCATTGGGAGTTTTACCGTTGATTTGTGATTTGTGATGAGCTTCAGGTTGTGAAGCTGGCTCCACTGTTACAAGGGCTTTCCCCTCCTCACTGCATGGCTGAGCAGGGGGAGTGCCCCCTCTACTGGACAAAGACTTGAACAACGCCTGCACGTTCACATACGAGATATCCTGGGCTGTCTGTCAGCGATGGAGAGAAAGTGGCATGAGAGGGGAAAATAAATGCATACATTTTAAATCATATCTCTAGCTAGGTTTCCATTCATTTGTCGAATGATTTTCAAGCGAATATTCTAATATTCGATCGATATGCACATTTTACCGGCAGAGGTGTGTTTCCATCAAACTGTGTAATGATGTAGTGTACATAACAAAATTTGCCGCAAAACTTTTCATTTACCGAATAAAGAAAAGGAAAGTTTGTGTTTCCATCCCATTTTTAACTCTATCAATGGTTTTACCACAAAAAGTATTGCGATAAACAGCAAATTAGCCCACTCTGGTCTGGAGGACACATGCATTTTAGCCAACGGCTCGCAGATACAGTGCAGAGGGTACATGATGAGATTATGGATAAGAGAAAGATCCCACTGGGCACACACTGGTTGAATCAACATTGTTTCCACGTCATTTCAACGAAATTACGTTGAACCAATGTAGAATAGACGTTGAATTGACATCTGTGCCCAGTGCGATAATTCTCAATTGGCAGCCAAGCACTGATCATGTCACCAGCAAACAAATTAGGACCCTCAATATATTTATTGGAAATGAGCATCAAGCTCATCACCGTGCACTGTCACCACCCTGTGAAGTTCATCAATTTATAGCCTACTTTGCATGCTTTTCCAAGTCGTAGTGGCAGGACCACACAACATAGCATCAAGTGACTGCAGTTTACTTCGACATGATGGTTTTCAACAATTGTGCCAAAAAGCGGTTCCACTGCCATTTGTCGCATGATTTATTTCCCAACATTGTCAACATTTAGGAAAGTTTACGGACAATTTGCTGTTTCCATCAAGCCTGTCGTGAGTTTTTTATCCGACAGGTACTTTATGCATAAACATGGTTAGATGAAAACATGGTTTCTCATAAAAAACACAAACATACATACATACATACATACAGTATCTCATAGGCTCATCTAACAGGATACAGACATAAAGCGGAATTATTTATGAGATATATTATTTGGATATACCTCAGGCATGATCTACTCAATATCAAAACTTCAACAATAAATACAATATTATTACAAGTTAATACAAAGAATTGCAATGTTTAGACAATGTTATTACATGTTATTACCTTGACGTGTTGCCCATTCTGTTTCTGCAGCGGTTTCTCGTCATCTGTCTCGATGCCAAAGGAGAGGTAAGGACTGGACACAATGTCTCCCCAGTATCCCCTCATTGCCATTTTGTCACCCCTCTATACACAGGCACGCATGCACATGCACACACACACACACACACACACACACACACACACACACAGGGAAGAAGAGGGTAATGATACACCACCATTCATTTACATTACATTTTAGTCATTTAGCAGACGCTCTTATCCAGAGCGACTTACAGGAGCAATTAGGGTTAAGTGCCTTGCTTAAGGGCACATCGACAGATTTTTCACCTAGTCGGCTCGGGGATTAGAACCAGCGACCTTTCGGTTACTGGCACAACGCTCTTACCCACTAAGCTACCTGCCGCCCCATTCTTTACCACAACATTGCCATTGCCAAAATCGTCAAAAGAAACAATAACTTACATGACTGAATACTCGCATGGAGAGTAAGCTCTCATTCGCCATTTGGTAGATGCCCTCCCTCATCTCAAAGGCCACGCCCCGCTCCCTCCATAGTTTGTAGTGCTGTTTGTTGATGACGCCACACTGAAGTGAGGAAAGAGAGGGAAAGGGAAAGAACATTAGGCCTTTGTTTCACTGACAATCAGTAGGCTGAGCACAGTCAGTATTTACAGTGGGGGAAAAAAGTATTTAGTCAGCCACCAATTGTGCAAGTTCTCCCACTTAAAATGATGAGAGAGGCCTGTAATTTTCATCATAGGTACACGTCAACTATGACAGACAAAATGAGATTTTTTTTCTCCAGAAAATCACATTGTAGGATTTTTTATGAATTTATTTGCAAATTATGGTGGAAAATAAGTATTTGGTCAATAACAAAAGTTTCTCAATACTTTGTTATATACCCTTTGTTGGCAATGACACAGGTCAAACATTTTCTGTAAGTCTTTACAAGGTTTTCACACACTGTTGCTGGTATTTTGGCCCATTCCTCCATGCAGATCTCCTCTAGAGCAGTGATGTTTTGGGGCTGTCGCTGGGCAACACGGACTTTCAACTCCCTCCAAAGATTTTCTATGGGGTTAAGATCTGGAGACTGGCTAGGCCACTCCAGGACCTTGAAATGCTTCTTATGAAGCCACTCCTTCGTTGCCCGGGCGGTGTGTTTGGGATCATTGTCATGCTGAAAGACCCAGCCACGTTTCATCTTCAATGCCCTTGCTGATGGAAGGAGGTTTTCACTCAAAATCTCACGATACATGGCCCCATTCATTCTTTCCTTTACACGGATCAGTCGTCCTGGTCCCTTTGCAGAAAAACAGCCCCAAAGCATGATGTTTCCACCCCCATGCTTCACAGTAGGTATGGTGTTCTTTAGATGCAACTCAGCATTCTTTGTCCTCCAAACACGACGAGTTGAGTTTTTACCAAAAAGTTCTATTTTGGTATCATCTGACCATATGACATTCTCCCAATCCTCTTCTGGATCATCCAAATGCACTCTAGCAAACTTCAGACGGGCCTGGACATGTACTGGCTTAAGCAGGGGGACACGTCTTGCACTGCAGGATTTGAGTCCCTGGCGGCGTAGTGTGTTACTGATGGTAGGCTTTGTTACTTTGGTCCCAGCTCTCTGCAGGTCATTCACTAGGTCCCCCCGTGTGGTTCTGGGATTTTTGCTCACCGTTCTTGTGATCATTTTGACCCCACGGGGTGAGATCTTGCGTGGAGCCCCAGATCGAGGGAGATTATCAGTGGTCTTGTATGTCTTCCATTTCCTAATAATTGCTCCCACAGTTGATTTCTTCAAACCAAGCTGCTTACCTATTGCAGATTCAGTCTTCCCAGCCTGGTGCAGGTCTACAATTTTGTTTCTGGTGTCCTTTGACAGCTCTTTGGTCTTGGCCATAGTGGAGTTTGGAGTGTGACTGTTTGAGGTTGTGGACAGGTGTCTTTTATACTGATAACAAGTTCAAACAGGTGCCATTAATACAGGTAACGAGTGGAGGACAGAGGAGCCTCTTAAATAAGAAGTTACAGGTCTGTGAGAGCCAGAAATCTTGCTTGTTTGTAGGTGACCAAATACTTATTTTCCACCATAATTTGCAAATAAATTCATTAAAAATCCTACAATGTGATTTTCTGGAAAAAAAATCTCAATTTGTCTGTCATAGTTGACGTGTACCTATGATGAAAATTACAGGCCTCTCTCATCTTTTTAAGTGGGAGAACGTGCACAATTGGTGGCTGACTAAATACTTTTTTCCCCCACTGTATTTCATAGTGAACAGAAGATGTCAACAGCCAGGAATCAATAAGTGTAGATAATAAACAATCTATGTCATTGTTTTGGTGTCTTTTCAGAATGTAGGAAACCAGCCATTCCATTTGTTTATCACGATCAGCTATGTTGCATGAATTTCCTTTTCTATAATAATATAATAATATGCCATTTAGCAAACGCTTTTATCCAAAGCGACTTACAGTCATGCGTGCATACATTTTTTGTGTATGGGTGGTCCCGGGGATCGAACCCACTACCTTGGCGTTACAAGCGCCGTGCTCTACCAGCTGAGCTACAGAGGACCAGGTTTTCTAACCTACAGTACCAGTCAAAAGTTTGGACACACCTACTCATTCAAGGGTTTTTCTTAAATGTTTACTAATAATAGTGAAGACATCAAAACTATGAAATAACACATATGGAATCATGTAGTAACCACAAAAGTGTTAAACAAATCAAAATATATTTTATATTTAGCCACCCTTTGCCTTGATGACAGCTTTGCACACTCTTGGCATTCTCTCAACCAGCTTCACCTGGAATGCTGTTCCAACAGTCTTGAAGGAGTTCCCACATATGCTGAGCACTTGTTGGCTGCTTTTCCTTCACTCTGCCGTCCGACTCATTCCAAACCATCTCAATTGGGTTGAGGTCGGGGGATTGTGGAGGCCAGGTCATCTGATGCAGCACTCCATCACTCTCCTTCTTGGTAAAATAGCCCTTACACAGCCTGGAGGTGTGTTGGGTCATTGTCCTGTTGAAAAACAGTGTGCCTTGAATTCTAAATAAATCCCAGACAGTGTCACCAGCAAAGCACCCCACACAATAACACCTCCTCCTCCATGCTTTACGGTGGGAACTACACATGCGGCGATCATCCGTTCACCAAAACCGCGTCTCACAAAGACACAGCGGCTGGAAACAAAAATATCAAATTTGGACTCAAGACCAAAGTACACATTTCCACTGGTCTAATGTCCATTGCTCGTGTTTCTTGGCCCAAGCAGGTCTCTTCTTCTTATTGGTGTCCTTTAGTAATGGTTTCTTTGCAGCAATTCGACCATGAAAGCCTGATTCACGCAGTCCCCTCTGAACAGTTGATGTTGAGATGTGTCTGTGACTTGAACTCTGTGAAGCATTTATTTGGGCTGCAATTTCTGAGGCTGGTAACTCTAAGGAACGTATCCTCTGCAGCAGAGGTAACTCTGGGTCTTCCATTCCTGTGGCGGTCCTCATGAGAGCCAGTTTCATCATAGCGCTTGATGGTTTTTGCGACTGCACTTGAAGAAACTTTCAAAGTTCTTGAAATGTTCCGTATTGACTGACCTTCATGTCTTAAAGTAATGATGGACTGTTGTTTCTCTTTGCTTATTTGAGCTGTTCTTGCCATAATATGGAGTTGGTATTTTACCAAATAGGAGGACTATCTTCTGTATACCACCCCTCCCTTGTCACAACACAACTGCTTGGCTCAAACGCATTAAGAAGTAAATAAATTCCACAAATTAACTTTTAAGAAGGCACACCTGTTAATTGAAATGCATTGAGAGAATGCCAAGAGTGTGCAAAGCTGTCATCAGGGCAAAGGGTGGCTATTTGAAGAATCTCAAATATAAAATATATTTTGATTTGTTTAACACTTTTTTGGTTACTACATGATTCCATATGTGTTATTTCATAGTTTTGATGTCTCCACTATTATTCTACAATGTAAAAAATAGTAAACATAAAGAAAATCCCTTGAATGAGTAGGTGTGTCCAAAATGTTGACTGGTAGTGTATGTCAAAACATCCCTTGATTGTGCTGCACTATGCCACATACCTAGCCTGGTCCCAAAATGTGCCAACTTGACGATCTTTGACAGGCCATGTATAGGACCTGCAGGCTAACACATACATACCCCTTTCTGGTGTAGCTTCATGGTGAGGTCCCAGTCGAAGCAGCCCACCCTGGAGTCATAGCGGGTGCCCAGATGCTGCCGGACCCGGCCGTCCCAGGCCTTGGCTATTGATACGGGGGCAGAACGTGCAGATGAGGGGGGGTGGATCCATTGTTTGAATATCCTGTCCAAATCATCACGCTCCTTGAACTGTTAAAGTTTAAAGGAAAAAGTTAAATGGGAATCATGGATTATGGATAATTGAAGCATTGGAAATGGTGGAAGAACACTGGTTTATAAGCTCAATGGTCATTTATCAATATAAGATTCCTCATATTCACTCCGTCCCCAAAGTTACTGTGATGGTAGATTTTTAAAAAATTAGTCCTCAATTTCCAAGAATTTAAATATATACTCTGACAGATAAGTAGACAAAAAGACGGACAGTTTCTTACTCTGAGATGCGTGGTGTCCAGGCAGGGATTTGCGGGTTTTTCTAGTGTCTCAGTGACTGAGAGAGACAGTTGTGACGCCACGTGTCTCAGTGTCTCCTCTGTCTGACTGCGGACCTCACTGTTACCAAACAACTCCAGGAAAACCTCAGTCTTTTCTGGGAATACAGACACAGTATAATAAGCACACAGGGTACAATTGGATTTAAAGCTTACTTAATTAACATACTACAAGGTCTAAATGTATTGCAACATGCAAGAAAATAATGTAGTATATGCATAACATTAGTGGATATAAGGCTACTTTGATGTTTCTATTGCAGTTTCTATGGATAGTCTATGGATTATCGCTATGACTGACCGTGAAGTCCCATGCTCTCCTGGGGTGTCAGAGACAGAAAGAGGAGCAGCAGTTGTCGAGCCACTACGTCCATACTATTCTCTATCACCCATATCTGCCAGGAAACAGAGACAGGTGATAGTTTATTAACCATAGACCTAATACTTGTGCTGCAAATTCAGTCCGACCACTGAAGACATGAAAGACTGAAATCCCTTGGCTTGGGCACTCAAGATGCACACGACATTAACATAGCACAATATTATGGTGTTATTGTGTTACTAACTGGGACAGACATACATTAAAGTTACAAATGTTGTAACTCACATGAAGGGTATCTGTGTCTCTCAGGCCAGCAATGGTCTTGAGTATGTGTCTTGGGTCACCACTTCCCACCAGTAAAACATTTACCTCACCCTCCTGCCTCTCTGAGCCTGAGCAAGAGAGAGAGAGAGAGAGAGAGAGAGAGACTCCACCATAAATGTTACAACAAGGGGATTGATTTACATTGGGATTAAAATGCAGCAATCTGCAATATTGCGGCGTATTATTGTTGCAAACAGCTGGCAAGACACTTACCCAATTTGGTCTGGTTAAATCTCACTCACAGTTACTACCCACTGGGCACAGACATTCAATGTAATTTCATTGAAATGACGCAGAAACAATGTTGATTCAACCAGTGTGTGCCCAGTTGTTTTGGGTAAGGGATTAATTGTGCAGTGGTTAAAACAAAAATACAACATAACATATCAATTTGCCAAATAAGAAGATAAGCTTTGGAAGCTGTAGGACTAATGATAATACTTATGTTATCTGATAATGCAGTTGACATAACATCTCCTACAATTGTATTTCTACATGTTTTAGCTATAGGGGCTACACTTCCCACGGGGAGCCAGTATGAAAAATGAATGCACTCACTAATTGTAAGTCGCTCTGGATAAGAGCGTCTGCTAAATGACTAAAATGTAAAATGTAAAAACTCTGTGGTATTTCCATAAAAAAGAACGTAGGTAAGAAAAAGGTCAGCCACGTGATTCTCACCTCTGCACAGCAGGAGGTCACGCGCAGGACTGAAGCCCCACCAGGTCACACAGCCCGCGCCCTCCATAGTTCGACCAGTGCTCATTCTGAAGACGACATGTTGTAACGTTAACTGTTTTATTTCCACTGGGTAAGTAATGTATCTTTTCCTTGTCGCCCATCAATATATAAAAATGAAAACGCTTCCTCTGGTAGCTTGCAAAAGGGTTCAGCAGTAATTTAGTTCATCAAGTTTTAACTGCACCTGAGCAAGCCAGCCACATTTCTACATAGCTTGCAAATAAGCATTGGCCTATTTTAGTAATATTCAGCGAAGCGTATTCCAAATAAATATTAGCATGCTGTTAACAAGACAAGTATAGCAATTAGTTAGATAACGTTAGATAGCTTACTAGCTAACTTTCATAGCTAGCTAGCTACAGTAACTTTCTCAAGATGTCAGACTGTGTGACTTGACTGGCATGCATACAAACTCATGTGCGAAGATAGATAATTTTCATCATGATGAGTTGTGGAAAGGAGACAAGTCAAATACAGTTATTTTTGTCATGACATTTGGATAAACTCACCTCTCGTCAGGGCACTCTCAAGCCAAACCTTTTCAGTGTAGTTTATGATGTGTTGCTAAGCAACACTTTTTCAAAGAATTAAGAGTAGCGTCCTCTATGTCCCTCTTGTGTAACTGCAGCATTTTCCATAGTTGAGAGCAGATGCATAAGAAACCCCACATTTCTTTAACATTATTATTTATTTTGTATAACTGAAGTCACTGAACAAAATTATTTATATGACTAGGCAAAATAGGGAGCATTATTTAGCACATTGACATAGCACCTCACACTGCATTTTACTTTTTTACTAACAGAAATATACTGAAGAGAAATATAAACTCAGCATGCAACAATTTCATCGATTTTACTGAGTTACAGATCATTTAAGGAAATTAGTAAATTCAAATAAATTAATTAGGCCCTAATCTATGGATTTCACATGACTGGGCAGGGGCGTAGACATGGGGAGCCAGGGCCAGCCAATCAGAAATAGTTTTTCCCCACAAAAGGGCTTTATTACAGACATAAATACTCCTCAGTTTCATCAGCTGTCCGGGTGGCTGGTCTCAGACGATCCCGCAGGTGAAGAAGCCGGATGTGGAGGTCCTGGGCTGGTGTGGTTACCAGGGGCGGTGTGTTCATTAGGGCGATATGGGCGACGCACTGCCAAACAGGAAAAGGAAGGGATTTTTTTTCTAATCAATTATATCACGGCAACAGCAGTTATCAGTGTTCTAATCTAGACGTCTGATCTGCCACCAATCAGGCTAAAGTCGTGCTTCAAATGGCCCCGCCCCTTTTGGGGCGATTTCAGTCAGGTTGAAAATCGCCCCAGAAGTCTCTCATAGACTCTCATGTAAAATCTTTTTTTTTCAAATATCAGAGCTTTCAATACAATCTCTATGGGTTTCGGGAGGGCTTGCACTTACGCGCTTTCGTCATTCGTAACATAACCATGAACGTAACTAAGAAAAGAGCGGGTAGCAGCGTCAATCAATTCACGTACTACTGTCAAGATGGCTATCGTTCAGTGCAACTCGATTGTCTCTTTGAAAGAAGTTCCTTTTTGTCGGCGAACAAATCAAGATAAATTGGCAACGAAACAATTAGGACCTCCCAGACCAAATTGTATAATTCAACAGGTTTCTACTAAAGGGGGAAAGTCCTACACCCGAGGATTTTCCAAAAATTGGTACGAACGAAAAACCTGGCTAGCAGGCTGCGATGTAGCTAATGCAGTCTTCTGCTACCCCTGCTTACTCTTTCACCCTGAAGGCGGCACGGCAGACAGCACCGCTTGGACAGCGACTGGTGTAACGGACATGCACCATCTTTCAGAAAAGATTAAGAAACATGAGCTGTCAAAGACCCACATGGATAGCTGTTTGAGATTGTCTGCTTTGGGGAGAGTGAACATTGCCACTCAGCTGGATGAGGGATACAGGCTAGCTGTCCGCCGCCACAACGATGAGGTTAGCAAGAACCGCCACATCCTCAGCCGGCTAATCCAGTGTGTGAAGTTTTGCGGAGTGTTTGAGTTAGCTTTGCGAGGCAAAGATGAAACTGAGGGCTCCACCAACCCTGGTATTTTTCTTGGACTTGTCAACTTTGTGGCACAATTAGATGAGGTGTTTTATGGAAATGTATATTGTTTATGCAGTGTTGAGGAATGTGAAAGAACACCCTTGATTATTTTTACTGTGATAACTTATTTTGCTTTTGTAAGCCAACACTTTTGAGATCAGTCAATAAATGCTTCTGGTATTGACTTATATGCTGCCCCTGTCTTCATGTTGTTGCTGGACATATCTTTTTTTAAATGTGTGTAGGTCACCTAAATCATCAGAAAAATTGCCCCCCCTGAGAATTTTTTCAGGAGCCGCCACTGGTGGTTACACGTGGTCTGCGGTTGTGAGGCAGGTTGGACATACTGCCAAATTCTCTAAATTGACATTGAAGGCGGCTTATGGTAGAGAAATTTACATTAAATTCTCAGGTAACAGCTCTGGTGGACATTCCTGCAGTCAGCATGTGTGACAAAACTGCACATTTTAGAGTGGTCTTTTATTGTCCCCAGCACAAGGTGAACCTGTGTAATGATCATGCTGTTTAATCAGCTTATTGATATGCCACACCTGTCAGGAGGATGGATTATCTTGGCATGGGATGTAACAAATTTGTGCAAAACATTTGAGAGAAATAAGCTTTTTGTGAATATGGAACATTTCTGGTATATTTTATTTCAGCTCATGAAACATGGGACCAACATTTTACATTTGCGTTTATATTTTTGTTCAGTATAGTTGAAGTATCTTACAACCAACAAGCAAAACATAATGCAAACTTAATTCTAACTATAACCACTGCCACTAATTATGTTTTTAACGTAGGCCTACATGACAGTTCACAAAATCAGAAATTGTCTATTTGTGTGGAATGCAAGCTTGTCAATGAGTCAAAAACCAATTTAATTCCTTCATCTGATTGTCTGTAGCCTATAAGGCCATATAACAAGGGTGCATATTTTACAGATATATATATATTTTTTACATCTAGGCCTACATTTAGAAACCAACAGTGTGACGTTTTATAAAACAACTAAAGAACACAATTTGGGCTATAATCATTCCTGAACATTGAGACAAATGTAGGTAATTTTACACAAACACATGAACAGTCATGCTGCGATGTGTGCACACGCACACACACTCTTAACAAAAAAGAATGACAAAAAGAGATGACAGAAAATCAGACAGAGGCAAACATACAAAGAGGTCTTAATAACACTGAAAGACATATCAAAACGTTTGCTTTCCTTGTGGACAACATTAATGATCCAAGGATGTTGAGGGATCATTAACGAGGTGGGACCTTCAGAGCTGCATCCACCTCCTCCTCTGGGCAGAGGACATGCCATTGGGCAACTGGACGTCTCGGATTGGCCAACATTTCTGACCAATGTTTGAGACCAACTCCTGTGGCACCGTAACCCATGAAGGTCTTGCCAATTGCATCGTTGCTCCCAAGCTTGTCATAGTCATACACTGTTATGACGACCTGCACTTTCTGAATAAGAAACACAGAAGATACATTAAAACACTTACTATACTTCCAGAATACTGACTGGGTACTCTGCAACTACAAATGGATTGATAAGGCAAAGATGCAATACCTGAATCTGCTCGAAGGGAATCTCAAAGCTGAAGCTCTCATTGAAGTAAGGATTGAGTGTGTTCTTCTTGACAGTTGTCTTCTTCTTCTTGATTCGTTTCCCATTGTGCTGCAGAACAATCTTCACAAATGGATCTGAGGGAACGGTGGAAGAGAAGGGAGCAAGCCAATTAGTCAAATGTTTTTTGGTAGACTTTGATCAGACAAGGCTTCATGCCGGACAGCTGGTAGACTCATGAGGAACAATTTTACACATATCTCATTGGATGAATCTGTAATCATGTAAACTGAAAACGTTGCTGATACGTTTGCGAGGCCGTACAACCTTGGAGGGAACGAGAAAATACAACTATTTGTTGAGAGATTTAAAATCACCTGATAAGCCACCAACATCCATCTTCTTTAGGTTCTTGGCCTCCATGATGTTGATAGTGAGTTTGCCAGCAGTAGGTACATAGCGCAAGGAGATGCAGACATCACCCAGTTTCTCTGCCTGAGAGATGCACATCAGAACAACATGGTGTTAAACCACCAGCCAGAAACAGATCAAATAAGGAGGAAACTATTACATTAGGTTGTGATCTATCCATCATGCGAATGTGGGGGTGACTGGATGGATGACCAAAGAGTTAGTAATACCACAGTACATCATACCTCTTCTTTTTCACTGTTCTCCAGGTCCCTCCAACATTGCATTGGTTGTCCCAGATCCACACTGTTCATGGGGATCTTTATCTCCCCAATCACATCATGCTTGGAGAAACGGTCAAAGTCGAAGACCTGCAACACCAGGATCTTCCCTCCCAACTCTGTGTACGGGATCTTGGAGGAAAGGCAGGGGCATTAGTCACAAGTGAATGTCTGCCCAACTGATGTGCCTCAGAGAGATATTTATGTCATGCATGGTTGGCTCTGGCTTAGAGTTATTAAAAAACAGCATTGGTTAGTGCAGTTCTTAATAGGTATATCAATGTATGGCGGTTTGCCGGAATTGATCAAAAACAGTTCTATGTAAAATAGCAAGTATACCATAAAACTTAACATGCCAACATAAAAATACATACAACTATCAAATCCAGACAAACTAAGCAAACAAATGAAAACATGTATTGACAGGAGACAAGTAAAAATGCATTCTTAATTCTGCATTTTTAAAGTTGTTCGGGGATACCTTGACGGACGGCAATCAGAGAACGAGAGACAAACTACGAAGGGAAGCACGGACATGGGCTCGACTTCTGCCCACGTGAACTCAGAGACCAACAAGTGATACATCATCAACAACCTGGAACACCAACACAAGCTGCTACAGAGACAGAAAACAAACAAACCCAGACATAAGACAAACAAACAAACAAAGCCACAAGGTCAGACACCACGTAAACCTTGAAGATGAAGGTCTCGTTGAAAACCGGGCACAGGTTCTTGCGCTGGACCTTAGTTTCATGCTTCTTCTTTTTGTCTGGGAGCAGGTAGACTTTTACATAGGGGTCCGAGGTACCCCCCATATCCATGGCAGCCAGATCCTGAGCCTGGAGGATACCCACTATAAGCTTTGGAGAGAGAAGACCAAGAGGAGGAGTCAGGATGATCAGGTGAAGAATAAAACACCCAGAGGTTCAAGACATTTCTCCCAGTGTCGCGTCTTCGGCCGAGGCTGCCTCCCCTCCTTGTTCGGGCAGGCTTCGGGGTTCGTCGTCACCGGCTTACTAACCACTGCCGCCCCAATCATCATCACAATTGTCTGGTCTTGTCAATCACACACACCTGGTTCCTATCCCCTAATTAGTCTGTGTATAAGTGTTCCCTCTGCCCCCTTGTGGGTGATTGTTAATTGTGAGAGTAATGTAGCTCGGTGGAGCTACTCATAACATTGTGTTGCCAGGGTAGTTTTTCCCCCTGTGCCTATGTATTCTTGGATTCCGTTACAGTGTAATTGCCAGGGATGTTTGTTTCCCCTGTGCCTGTTTTGTTGATCGCTATTGGAGCGCATTTGTGTGTCAACAAAGGAATAAACTCTGTATTCAGTGATTACCCTCCTGCGCCTGACTCCTTTCACCACACCCAGAAAGTCTCAATTTCAGACATGGTTCATATTAATGTCACACACATTATTGAATATATATATATATATATATATATATATATATATATATATATATATATATAATATACACACACTACATTTTTACATTTACATTTGAGTCATTTAGCAGACGCTCTTATCCAGAGCGACTTACAGTTAGTGAGTGCATACATTATAAATTGTGTTTTTGTTTGTTTTTATTGTTTTATTTTCATACTAGCCCCCCGTGGGAATCGAACCCACAACCCCGGCGTTGCAAACGCCATGCTCTACCAACTGAGCTACATCCCAAAAAAAACACTACATGGCCAAAAGTATGTGGACACCTGCTCGTCGAACATCTCATTCCAAATCATGGGCATTAATATGGAGTTGGTCCCCCCTTTGCTGCTATAACAGCCGCCACTCTTCTGGGAAAGCTTTCCACTAGATGTTGGAACATTGCTGCGAGGACTTGCTTCTATTCAGCCACAAGAGCATTAGTGAGGTCAGGCACTGATGTTGGGCGATTAGGCCTGGCTCGCAGTCAGCGTTCCAATTCATCCCAAAGGTGTTCAATGGGGTTTAGGTCAGGGCTCTGTGCAGGCCAGTCAAGTTCTTCCACACCGATCTCGACAAACCATTTCTGTATGGACCTCGCTTTGTGCACGGGGGCCATTGTCATGCTGAAACAGGAAAGGGCCTTCCCCAAACTGTTGCCACAAAGTTGAAGCACAGAATCGTCTAGAATGTCATTGTATGCTGTAGCGTTAAGATTTCCCTTCACTGGAACTAAGGGGCCTAGCAGCACGAACCGTGAAAAACAACACCAGACTATTATTCCTCCTCCACCAAACTTTACAGTTGGCACTTGGGGCAGGTAGCGTTCTCCTGGCATCCGCCAAACCCAGATTTGTCCTTCGGACTGCCAGATGATGAAGCGTCATTCATCAATTCAGAGAACACGTTTCCACTGCTCCAGGCGGTGAGCTTTACACCACTCCAACCAACTCTTGGTATTGCGCATGGTGATCTTAGGCTTGTGTGCGGCTGCTCGGCCATGGAAACCCATTTCATGAAGCTCCCGACGAACAGTTCTTGTGCTGACATTGCTTCCAGAGGCAGTTTGGAACTCGGTAGTGAGTGTTGCAACCGAGGACAGACGATTTCTACGCGCTACGAGCTTCAGCATTTGGCTGTCCCGTTCTGTGAGCTTGTGTGGCCTACCACTTCGAGGCTGAGCCGTTGTTGCTTCTAGATATTTCCACTTCACAATAAAAGCACTTACAGTTGACCGTGGCAGCTCTAGCAGGGCAGACATTTGACAAACTGACTTGTGGAAAGGTGGCATCCTATGACGGTGCCATGTTGAAAGTCACTGAGCTCTTCTGTACGGGCCATTCTACTGCCAATGTTTGTCTATGGAGATTGCATGGCTGTGTGCTCGATTTTATACACCTGTCAGCAACGGGTATGGGTGAAATAGCCAAATCCACTAATTTGAAGGGGTGTCCACATACTTAACTAATATTGACACACACCAGTTAGGCTAGTATTTTGCTGTTTTACATCTTTGCTAAGTGTATGAACTGATTGTAAGTTACTCTGGAGAAGAGCATCTGCTACACTAAATAACAGAATTGCAACAAATGTGCTGTGCTGTCATACATAAGGAACAGTGTTTTGTGCAGTCATGTGACATAGCAAGACTATCCAGAAATGGGAATTACACAAAAAATGTAAGCAATTGTCTGAGGATGGTGCTGGACCATCTGAGATAAAAAGAAAAGGGGACAGTTGGATGAAAAAGCTTTAAATAAAGGTTAAAATCCAGGTCATGTGACATGATTGCGCAAAACACAGGGCGCTAGTAATACAGTATTAATATGTTGTGCCACAGGGGCCTCTTTTGACAAAGTATTGTACCATACAACCAAAAGGACTTGGCACTACCTGGGCATCTGTGAAGTTGTAGTCCAAGGAGAACTCCAGTTTTCCCAGCTTCTCCTGTTCCTTCTCCTCTCCTTCCCCTTCTTTCTTATCCCCCTCTTCCTGAATAATAGATCGCAGACACATATTTTCTGTTTTTGTTTGATACTGCATGGCACTGTCTATATTTGTCATATTCATGGGAAATGTGTATGTAATTTCTTCCTATCTTTCCCGTGTCCTTCTTACCTTATCCCCACCCTCTCCTCCCCCTTCGTTGTCTGCCTTCCTCCGACGGCCAGCCTTCCTCTCCCTCACTTTCTTAGTTTTTTTCTTTTTCCCAAAGCATTTTTTGAAGAGGCAGAACGTGCAGCATCCTACCAAAACCAGCACCACCACAACGATGGCCCCAACTGCCCACATAGGGACTACAGAAGAAAGAGGTAACAACACAATTAACATCTAAAGACATACTGTCTATCTTAACATATGAGAAACTATACCAAGATACTTGAAACAGTGAGGGAAGCAGAAAGTATACCAGGACAAGAAAATATAGCAGGACAAACTAAATATAAAAATAGTGGGAAGTCTATTCAAGTACCCTAAGGTGCTAGATGTTGACTAGTGTTTGACATCTGAATAAGGGACAAGGTTTGTTAATGACGGTGAAAAACAAATCTTAAAGGAAAACAATAACAGACATAATTGCTATAGACTTTGATGGGGTTGTAATGTCACAATGTACACAGGAGAAGGGAGGCTAGGGGGTGATCAATCTACCAATATACAGTTGCGGTCAAATATTTGTGCAAGATTCACTATTTCTTCTCAAATAAGTTGAAATTGGAAAAACAACGTTGGTGTTCACGTGTGTATTTGTTTGATTTACATCTGAACAGGACCAACATCAAAACTGAAATGGAGACTTTTCTCTTCAAAGTAAATAAATGTCCTGGACTAAATTATTCAAAATTAAAATTAATTTGATTGGAGGCAAGTCATTCTTGTTTACGGTGTAATTTATGTCAACTGTGGTAAGTTGTAGGTGCCTACAGGGTAACAATAGCCAATTCAACCAGTTTTGAAAGAGAAAACAGAACCTTTCTCCATTGCACTCCATTATAAAGTGCAAAGGTGCCAATATATTTGACCGCAACTGTAGGTATATTCAAAGTAAATGCACACGGAGAATGAAAACGTTATTACTTCTTTGAATAAGTCCTGTGAGAAAAGAGGAATGATATGATAAAATGAAGATGAAGGGAGATGATGAAGTGACATTATGTATCCTGCATAACACCTATACATCTTTTTTTTTTAAAGAATGTGAATCCCGTGTTCCTTTCCATAGTTCTAACATCTGTCATGGCTTATATGTATGATCCCATAACTCTTGTTCTATTTTTGTCACCAGCTCTCACTCAGTCCCTCCACCCCAAAAATCCATGAGAGAATTACATTGCTGCATCAGGATCAGGACCCAAGCAGATTTCAACCTTCCACGATAGCTACAGAGATGACATAAAAGTTAGGAAAACAGCATCTGTGGAGTCCTCAGTCTTGCCCAATTCCATCTATATGCCAGGAACTACTTACGTGGCAGATGGCCAATCTCATTCATGAACTTGTTCTTCATGTCGTCATAGTTGTGGTGGCCGGGGTGGTGTGCTGGAGGGACGTGGGTAGCTGGCTCCTCTGCTTGTTCTGGCACTTTTTCATGTTCATGTTCTGGTTTTGCCGGCTCCACAGCCCGACGAGCCCGGAACTGCACACTGGCCATCCTCATTTCAGCTGACAAACAGCAGGTACAGGGCAAGGAAGCATAGGATTAGTTGGCCCCAAACAAATTCTAGGCAATGTTGACACAGATAATGATGATTATTGATAGAATAAGATAATTTTTTGTATCATGTATTTATGTCATTGTATGGATCGTTTATAATATTCACCCTTCTAATTGCAGTGTGTGAATTCAAGTAGGCTATACATACAGTGAGGAAAAAAGTACTTTGACTTCCCCTGCTGATTTTGTACGTTTGCCCCCTGAAAGACATGATCAGTCATAATTTTACTGGTAGGTTTCTTGAACCTGAGAGACAGAATAACAACAACACAACTCCAGAAAAACGCTGTCCAAATGTTATAATTGAATTTGCATTTTTAATGAGGGAAATAAGTATTTGACCCCTCTGCAAACATGATTTAGTACTTGGTGGCAAAACCCTTGTTGGCAATCAAGAGTCACCGTAGTTCGTAGTCAGAGAGCCGGCGTTGTAACGCCAAGGTAGTGGGTCGATCCGGGACCTAACAAAAGGTATGCACCAGACTGTAAGTCCTTTGAATAAAAGGTCTGTAATGGCATATAATATAAAAAATTGTATGTCCAGGTTTGCACACATTAGTAGGATTGTCCCACTCCTCTTTGCAGATCTTCTCCAAGTCATTAAGGTTTCGAGGCTGACGTTTGGCAACTCGAACCTTCAGCTCCCTCCACAGATTTTCTATGGGATTATGATCTGGAGACTGGCTAGGCCACTCCAGGACCTTAATCTGCCTCTTCTTGAGCCACTCCTATGTTGTATTGGTTCGTGTGTTTTGGGTCATTGTCATGCTGGAATACCATCCACGACCCATTTTCAATGCCCTGGCTGAGGGAAGGAGGTTCTCACCCAAGATTTGACGGTACATGGCCCCGTCCATCATCCCTTTGATGCGGTGAAGTTGTCCTGTCCCCTTAGCAGAAAAACACCCCCAAAGCATAATGTTTCCACCTCCATGTTTGACGGTGGGGATGGTGTTCTTGGGGTCATTGGCAGCATTCCTCCTCCTCCAAACACGGTGAGTTGAGTTGATGCCAAAGAGCTCGATTTTGGTCTCATCTGACCACAACACTTTCACCCAGTTCTCCTCTGAATTCATTCAGATGTTCAATTTATAACATTTTTGACATGCGGTTTTCTGGATTTTGTTGTTGTTATTCTGTCTCTCACTGTTCAAATAAACCTACCATTAAAATTATAGACTGATCATGTCTTTGTCAGTGGGCAAACGTACAAAATCAGCAGGGGATCAAATACTTTTTTCCCTCACTGTATGTATAGCCTACTTGAATTCACACACTGCAATTAGAAGGGTGAATGTTATAAACGATCCATACAATGACATAAATACATGATACAACAAATTATCTTATTCTATCAATAATCATCATTATCTGTGTCAACATTGCCTAGAATTTGATTGGGGCCAACTAATCCTATGCTTGATTGGAGGCAAGTCATTCTTGTTTACGGTGTACGATGCTCAACAAGGCTGACCTTAATCCCTTTTCCTCTCATCCCACCCCTCCCCATAACCCACCATGTCTCCCCCCTCTCACTCCCCTTCACTCCCTAGCTCCCCCTCCCTATCTATCTATCATACAGTGAGGGAAAAAAGTATTTGATCCCCTGCTGATTTTGTACGTTTGCCCACTGACAAAGAAATGATCAGTCTATCATTTTAATTATAGGTTTATTTGAATAGTGAGAGACAGAATAACAACGAAAAATTCCAGAAAAACGCATGTCAAAAATGTTATGAATTGATTTGCATTTTAATAAGGGAAATAAGTATTTGACCCCTCTGCAAAACATTACTTAGTACATGGTGGCAAAACCCTTGTTGGCAATCACAGAGGTCAGACGTTTCTTGTAGTTGGCCACCAGGTTTGCACACATCTCAGGAGGGATTTTGTCCCACTCCTCTTTGCAGATCTTCTCCAAGTCATTAAGGTTTCGAGGCTGACATTTGGCAACTCGAACCTTCAGCTCCCTCCACATATTTTCTATGGGATTATGGTCTGGAGACTGGCTAGGCCACCCCAGGACCTTAATGTGCCTCTTCTTGAGCCACTCCTTTGTTGCCTTGGTTCGTGTGTTTTGGGTCATTGTCATGCTGGAATACCCATCCACGACCCATTTTCAATGCCCTGGCTGAGGGAAGGAGGTTCTCACCCAAGATTTGACAGTACATGGCCCCGTCCATCGTCCCTTTGATGCGGTGAAGTTGTCCTGTCCCCTTAGCAGAAAAACACCCCCAAAGCATAATGTTTCCACCTCCATGTTTGACGGTGGGGATGGTGTTCTTGGGGTCATAGGCAGCATTCCTCCTCCTCCAAACACGGCGAGTTGAGTTGATGCCAAAGAGCTTCATTTTGGTCTCATCTGACCACAACACTTTCACCCAGTTCTCCTCTGAATCATTCAGATGTTCATTGGCAAACTTCAGACGGGCATGTATATGTGCTTTCTTGAGCAGGGGGACCTTGCGGGTGCTGCAGGATTTCAGTAGTGTGTTACCAATTGTTTTATTGGTGACTATGGTCCCAGCTGCCTTGAGATCATTGACAACATCCTCCCGTGTAGTTCTGGGCCGATTCCTCACCGTTCTCATGATCATTGCAACTCCACGAGGTGAGATCTTGCATGGAGCCCCAGGCCGAGGGAGATTGACAGTGCTTTTGTGTTTCTTCCATTTGCGAATAATCGCACCAACTGTTGTCACCTTCTCACCAAGCTGCTTGGCGATGGTCTTGTAGCCCATTCCAGCCTTGTGTAGGTCTACAATCTTGTCCCTGACATCCTTGGAGAGCTCTTTGATCTTGGCCATGGTGGAGAGTTTGGAATCTGATTGATTGATTGCTTCTGTGGACAGGTGTCTTTTATACAGGTAACAAACTGAGATTAGGAGCACTCCCATTAAGAGTGTGCTCCTAATCTCAGCTCGTTACCTGTATAAAAGACACCTGGGAGCCAGAAATCTTTCTGATTGAGAGGGGGTCAAATACTTATTTCCCTCATTAAAATGCAAATCAATTTATAACATTTTTGACATGCGTTTTTTCTGAATTTTTCTGTTGTTATTCTGTCTCTCACTGTTCAAATAAACCTACCATTAAAATTATAGACTGATCATTTCTTTGTCAGTGCAAAGGACAAAACAGGGTCAATACTTTTTTCCCTCCAAATCAGCAAGGGGATCAAATCTATTATCCTCTTCAACTATCTATCATATCTATATACTATCTCATCTATCTCTATCTATTATTCTATCTCTATCTATCTATCTCTCAACACATAACTGGATTACTACAATATTAATCCAAAATCCCAAACCCCCGAAGCTTAACTAAGAGGTGGTTTACCCAGTCCCATTCCCCGCCCACACAAGCCCCTCTCCCAGCATTTCCCACCCTCTCTCTCATAACTGGCACTGGTTTCAGGAGTAATGGCTCTATATCTAGTAATTTCAGAGGATAATGTCCAATGGAATGTACAGTGACACTATGAAGAGTATGAAAATAGTTGATGAACTGAATACATGTGTAAGACATATTTTCAGGTTCAATTACATTTGTTTTCATATCTCTGCTCTGCACCTCACCCATTATAGCTGTGACATATACACTACATGACCAAAAGTATGTGGACACCTGATTGTCGAACATCTCATTCCAAAATAATGGGCATTAATATGGAATTGGACCCCCCCCTTTGCTGCTATAACAGCCTCCACTCTTCTGGGAAGGCTTTCCACTAGATGTTGGAACATTGCTGCGGGGACTTGCTTCCATTTAGCCACGAGCATTACTGATGTTGGCCGATTATGCCTGGCTCGTAGTTGGCATTCCAATTCATCCCAAAGGTGTTCGATGGGGTTGAGGTCAGGGCTCTGAGCAGGCCAGTCAAGTTCTTCCACACCGATCTCGACGAAACCACTTTCTGTATGGACCTCGCTTTGTTCACGGGGGCATTGTCATGCTGAAACAGGAAAGGGCCTTCCCCAAACTGTTGCCATAAATGTTACAGTTGGCACTATGCTTTGGGGCCGGTAGCATTCTCCTGGCATCCGCCAAACCCAGATTCGTCCGTCAGACTGCACTCCAGAGAACTCGTTTCCACTGCTCCAGAGTCCAATGGCGGGGAGCTGTACACCACTCCAGCCGACGCTTGGCATTGCGCATTGTGATCTAAGGCTTGTGTGTGGCTGCTCGGCCATGGTTACTCATTTCATGAAGCTCCCGACGAACACTTGTGTTGACGTTGCTTCCTGAGGCAGTTTGGAACTCAGTAGTGAGTGTTGGAACCCGAGGACAGACCGTTTTTACTCGCTTCAGCACTCGGTGGTCCCGTTCTGTGTGCTTGTGTGGCGTACCACTTCGCGGCTGAGCTGTTGTTGCTCCTAGACATTTCCACTTCACAATAATCGCACTTACAGTTGACCGGGGCAGCTCTAGCAGGGCAGCAATTTCATGAACTGACTTGTTGGAAAGGTGGCATCCTATGACGGTGCCACGTTGAAAGTCACTGAGCTCTTCAGTAAGGCCATTCTACTGCCAATGATTGTCAATGAAGATTGCATGGCTGTATGCTCTATTTTATATACCTGTCAGCAACGGGTTGTGGCTGAAATAGCCGAATCCACTAATTTGAAAGGGTGTCCACATTATTTTGTATATATAGTGTATCTTGATTAGATACAGTTGAAGTCGGAAGTTTACATACACTTAGGTTGGAGTCACTAAAACTTGTTTTTCAACCACTCCACAAAGGTCTTGTTAACAAACTATAGTTTTGGCAAGTCGGTTGGGACATCTACTTTGTGCATGACACAAGCGATTTTTCCAACAATTGTTTACAGACAGATTATTTCACTTATAATTCACTGTATCACAATTCCAGTGGGTCAGAAGTTTACATACACTAAGTTGACTGTGCCTTTAAACAGCTTGGAAAATTCCAGAAAATGATGTCATTGCGGCTTTAGAAACTTCTGATAGGCTAATTGACATAATTTGAGTCAATTG